TTTTTTAAAATCGGTTTGAGCGGTTTTGGGGGTTGCGGAATTTTTCAAAAATACTTTCGAGCCCTTTCCCGTATGGTCGTATGTCGTGTGCGAACGAACGGGAAATGAAATCGGAAAAAATTTAAAAAATATTTTCGGAAATTATAGGTGAAATTATGATTCAAATAGCTACTTGATGAAAGAAATAGCAGATCATGATTGGCTGGGGATGTATGAAAGATTTTTTATATAAGCCACATATTTTTCATAGGCTGAGATTTTCTTTAATCAAAAGGGCTCGCATGTGTATTCAAAAAATTGGAGGTCATATCGAGCAATTCATTTAGACTTGTTGAATTTCTATCAATTTTTTTTTCGAGAAAATTATTTCAATACATTCGCTTTGAGCACCTGGTTTCTCCATATTAACCTTTTCGTACGTAAAAAATTACGCCCTCTTCCAATTTCGACGAAATAAATAGGAAGGAGTATGTGAACATTATGAGATTACCGTAAGCCGCATAGGCATCAAGCAATAACCAGTACTTTTCGAATTATCTCAAAAACAAATAATCTAATGAAAATTTTTCAAGAAACAAAAAATACTCAAAAATGATTCAACACTTGAAGAAAAATAGATAGGAAGTCATTAGCGCACGTACGAAAAAAAATTGGGGTAAGTATACCCATAGTATTCTGAATATTTGACAGTTATTTTCAGTTTTGTTTTCTTAAAACGATGTGATTCTTCGTGCTGAAGTAATGTATCAATTTTGAGATTAATATTTTATCAAATACGCGAGTAATTGAAAAGAAACAGTTTTTTATTTCCAACTTTGACACCCTGTATATCGAATATGAAGGGCTGCAATGAAAAATGGTGTTAAGGAACTCATATTGTTTTTGTTCAAGGAATATATGGTTATTGGATTGACCTCCTTTTAGCAGACACCCTGTATAGATATAGTGACAACTAGAAATACACACATATATATTAGAATTCGAGCACTCTCTATTTTAAAATCTATCACTCTGCTGAAAGACCTTTTATATAGCTCAATGATCAATTGCATTTATCGAAATAGTCCATTCTGCCTGCTCTGGACAGTGACAGTTTGAATAAAATATGAATCGATCCGAACATTTCATTTGCTTGATAAATTAACATGAAACAAGAGTTCGATCAATTAGTGATTACGAAAATTATATCGATCGATTTTGTAATCATGAATTCGAGTGACTTTAATCATAATGTGGTTCGATTCACCATTAATATCCATAGGCTTTACCTACAGATTGTTTATGCATCCACCAACAGAGCCAAAACAAACTATGATAATATGATACTACTTATAAGCAGGGAATAATCGAATTATAATTTTTGAAGCAAAACATATTATGTTTCTGATGTTCCGATGGAATACATACCACTGCCCTTTTTGAGATTCGTTTTTTCTAGCTCAGTAATACACAATTGAATTTCCAATTTCTTGAATCATTTCGAATTCTTGCTTTGTTTCGGAGGAATAACGACTGCATGCAATTGCGATCGATTTGATATCACTTCGTTGAAAACAGGCCTTCACGAAAGTAGTGTGATATTTCTTTCGATTAGGACTGGATGTACGATTCAGATGAAATATGTAAGATTACTCAAAATACTTCCTAGCATAGAATGTTCACCTCAATAAGATGTATTTCTCTTGAAGAACTACTCAACTGCTTCTGTTGGCTGATATTGAACTCATCATGCCGTTCAAAATAGAGGGTATGTCACGACGAACTTACACTATCTCTATATCAAGAATCAGTCGAGAAAAATCCATGAAAATATGCATGCTCATATTTTAGAATACGCTCACTTCATCAAAGATATTTTCAGCAATGCAGTGTTGCCGCTTCTCCTAGAAAGTAGTAGCAACATTGATATTTCAAATGGGACACCCTGTAATTCATCGCATTTTTAGATTTTTCCTGAAGAGCTGTTTCCATTGATATATCACACTTGGGGTCTATCGAGAAAAATTACAGAGATATAGGGAGTTCAAAATCGAGATTTCTCAACTTTAGGATTTGTTTGTGTCGAAACTATTCATTATCGGTCAAAACGGCTCACATGTCCCTATCTCAAATTTCGATTCACTATTCACTGATTTTTTTATCGGAACAGATACAGGGTGGTTCAAGATTCAGAATTCTGATCACCCTGTATCTGTTCCGATTAAATATCAGTAAATAGTAAATCAAAAGTTGAGATAGGAGCATGTGAGTCGTTGTGACCGATAATGAATAGTTTTGACTAAAAAAAATCCTAAAGTTGAAAAATCTCGATGTTGAACACCCTATATCTCTGTAATCATTTCTGATAGACCCCAAGTGTGATGTATAGATGAAATCAGCTCTTCAGGGCGAATCTAAAAATGCGATAAAATACAGGGTATTCTATTCGAAATAACAAAGTTGTTGCTACTTTTTGATAGAAGCGGCACTACTGCATTGCTGAAAATATTTTGAATGAAGAGAGTGTATTCTAAAATATGAGCATGCATATTTTCATGGAGTTCTCTCGACTGATTCTTGATAAAGAGATAGTGTAAGCTCGTCGTGACATACCCTGTATGTATATCAATCGACTCTAATCTATTCATTGAATGATTTCAAGTAGACTTCGTGTCTTTGCTTCTGAATAATCTCACTTCACTTCGTGATATAGAAACTACTGCAAGAGTGGGTTGTTGTCGCGAGATTCATGTTATCATGTTTCACAGAAAGAATTATTGAGTAGAACGGTGATTCGGTATTTGCCGCTTCCATTTGTTTTCGGGGAAGAATACCCACCTATTGTTTCATACCTACTGTAGTGTTCCAGCTAATTCCAGCTAATTTTACAATTCTCAGGAGATATTATGGTAGAGGAATGATATTTATGTATCAAGCTCTCGAGTTCAGTCATCTAGATATCATCATACAGATTGAAACGTATTTATCAACAAGCTTCTTAACTCCTCATGAAATATGTTACAATGTAGGTAGTATAATAATTTTGTTGTTGAATAATTCAGATACTCTTACATTCGACAATGATTTGTATCTGCTAGCAACACCAGTCAGACGAACTCGACAGGCCCAGTCAGCTCATCTTCAAGTCGTTCACTTTGATATATGTCGAACAACATTCTATCAAATTCGTTCGTCTATAGAACGACAAAGTTCCCCAGGCAACCAGATGACGAATGATCACGTCACTGTGACGTCCCTGATTGGTGATTTTTCGTCAGAGACGTCACACACCAATTCATGACGTCACTATGACGTACTTTCTATGACGTGATAATCACGTCATCGTTTCGACGTCGAGTGGACGTCCCTTAGACGGGTAAAAGGAGACGTCAGTTTCATGACGTTGCGGGGACGTCCTGTCGACGTCCATTTTTCCCAGACTTTCTCTAAACCATGGATACTTGAATATTATCATGTGTTACAGAGGTATGACCAATGAAAGCGAATCAACATGCAAGTTTTATTATAATTATCAATGTACCCGAAAAGTAGTAGAAATTTTTTTCATAAAAAACTTTGACACACTGTATATTTCGGAAACCAACAAGGTATGTATATATGAAAATGATTGTTAAGGTATACCTATATTGAAACCGTTACTCTTATGACGTTGTAGTGACGTATCTATGACGTCTAAAATCACGTCGGTCTGACGAACCAATTTGGTGAGCTTCGTCAATTAGGAAACTTTCTAATAATTCACTATTTAGATTTCTGTTGGGTGACAAAGAATGCATCAATATACATTATTCAACAAAATGATGCCAAATTCACCAACATCCTTTCCATTGCTATCAAACTATTCTTTGTTTATATCTCGCCGACACAAACTACATAATTTTTGATACGAATACGAGTAACTGATTGCATTCTGATAGAGATGCGTACTGAATGATGGCGCTGCTGAATAGGCGATTGCATGAACATGACACAGGAGGGGGGACCCACCAAGCAGACTCAATAATGCATAATCAATATTATATAATGTCATCAGAGGCTAGTGATGTTAATCACACCATGTTAAAGGAATCTTTCTTACGTATCATCGCCGAATTCAATCGTCATTTCGACGTCATTATGACGTCAGTCGGACGTCACAGTTTGGTGAGTGAATGACGTCAATACGACGTGAGTAATATTGGGCTGTGACTTATTCACGTCATTATCACGTCAATGCGCCGTCAGCTACTGACGTCACCTTGGTCATTCAAGTGACGTAAAAAAGGCGTCACTGGAACGTCATCTGGTTGCCTGGGCTCCGCCAATGGGAGTATTGCCAATAATTCATAACCCACCAAAACTATAAAAATATTCCAACATCTACCATCTCTCCCTAATCCTCCTAGGTATGCACGATTTTACACGAATATTTTTGAAATGTCCTTCCGTGCCCTCCAAGTGATGAGGAGGAGTCATCCTAGAGTTGAAGACGACACTTTGTCATGATATTTTTATGTAAGTTCCGAAATATCTTCCATATTGATCGATTCACCTGTTCCCGAATATTCGAACTTCACGTCTTCGTCGTGAATCCATTTGTTTCAGTCGAACAAAATATTTGAAGTATGAGCCGACTATATTTCCTTCGATAATTCAAAAGGGCATATCATGAAAACTCTCCACCCGCGTATTTGGAATGGCAATTGTTTTGAAAACACCAAAACACATCAATTTCGATCGAGAAACATGTATGTAATGGATTCAGTCACGCAACCTCATCCCTCTGACGTAGCCAAGTAACCCTTCACAAATTATCATGGGAAACAATAGTCGGGAGGTACATCATCTTGAAGGTTCCCCTTTGTCTAAGTATCCAAGCGTTCATAGTTTTCGGAAATGGAGTGAATTGGTCCAATATAAATAATCAACAATCTTCATCACGATTATGAATTATTGCCAATACGTTCAGAGATTTGGTTTTGTTCGTTCGTTATAGAAATAGCTGGTGTTCCTCGATCTAATCATGTTTTCATCAATGAACATTTCTGTTTGGCTATTATTTGAGCGTAGATTGTCGGAGTGGTTTTCCTGATAGATATTACTGAAACCCTGAAATAAAAATAGCATCGAATATGTTGATGCCAGGAATATCTGCAGCCAAACCATAGATGCAACAATGATGGAAGTAAGATATGGTGCGAGTATTCGGCCATTACCACGTATTGAGAATTTCAGAAATATCACTCGACCTACTATGATTTCTCTACGTCACAACGAGCGAGACGTTGATTCTACATTTTCCCGCTAGATGGTGATGCTGCTATTGCTGCTGTGTCGAGTGGAAATAAAATGGCAAATGGCATTTTAGGTACGCGGAACATATGTAATAGTGGGATTATTCAACTCGGAATTCGAAAAATCTGCGACAATTTCAAAACTGACAGATGTCATATTTGTGCAATGTCGCCATCTATTAAAAGATGGACGGAACCATTGCTCTCGCTGTTCTCGAGAGGTCGTGTAGAATTTCTGAAACAAAAGCGCATCACTGATTACACCATATCTCACTTCCATCATTGATGCAACACAAGAAAAATACAATGCCAAAATGAGATCGAAACTCAAAGACTGTTCCAATGGATCCCGTTCATCTTGGTCACTTGCTGAAACAGTCAGAAGGAATTTAACTGATAGTTTATTTCTAAAGCTGGCGGCACTTCAGCTACAACAGCGCAAGAGAATGCAAATATTTTTGCAACAAACTGTACTTCAGATTTCCAAGGCAAAGTGCCGCTTGATATTCCACCCGTTGGAAATCTAATGCCCAAAATCGCCTTCCGTCAACGCACAATCAGACGTATTTTGCTTGGTATCGAATTGAATGAGGCTAACGATCCTGATGGATTTCTACTTATTATCCTCAGAAAATGAGCACCAGAATTGACACCTATTCTCTGCAAATTATTCACCATCTCGTGAGAAGCGGTTATTTTTCCATCATGCTGGAAGATAGCTAGATTCCAACCGATCCCAGAAAAGAGAACGAATACCTGCCCAACAGCTACACGCCTATTGTCCTGATATCAGTTATCCCCAAAGTGGTGAAGAAAGCGATCAACATTGACCTTATCAAATATCTGGAACTCCTGAGGAATCATCAATAATAAACAATATGGCTTTCATCACCGAAGATCAACTGGAAAACTTCTTGCCTACGTCGCCCATGTATGGCAAGCTTCATTAGCAAAACATGGAGAATCTCAAGCTGTGACGTTAGACATATCGAAAGCATTCGACAGTGTTTGGCACCAAGGACTCCTTCATACGGCTCACCACCTCAGCTATGTCATCTTTTATCGAGTTTTCTTTCAGGCAGATCACTCCACGTAGTGATGGACTGTTTATCTTCTTATAGCATTGCCATTGATTGAGGCGTTCCACAAGAATCCATTATGGCACCAACAATGTTGCTACGTCATATCAACGATCTGTTGGAAGCAAACACTGGCCCTATCTACAGTTCTGCAGATGATTGTACTCTCCATACTGCGTTCTCTTCCAGAATTCTCATTTCTTCCCAGAAAACTAAGAATTCACGGAGAAGGCAGGTCATTGCTGTCAATGAAGTTGTTGCTGAGATCACAACCTGGAGAACCAAACACTTGTTGAATTCAACGCCACTGCATCGAAAATAAGCGTTTGCTTTCGTATTGAAATACACAAACATGTCAATTCACTCCCATGGAAGAAAAAAATTGTAACTTCCGTGGGGGTCAAAAACAATTGACTTTACCTTGCTTCCTTGGTTGAGGAATCAGTGCAACCCAAGTACCCAATCACTGTCTCCATCACTACAATGAAACAAATAATACAATCTTTTTCGAACTCCAATATGATCTCACATACTTCGTCATATTCTAAACTTACTCAATCGAATCTTTGAATAATTCAGAACGATTAGAACAAATTGAAACATCAAACATTGCATTATAGGTTATGTCGTACATTTAACATTGCCGGAAATTTTCAACAATAATCATATGTTTATTATGGAGCCTTATGTTCAGATGACGCATGCGCTATCATCCATTTTTGCTCGCAAACTGTCATTCGATTCATTTTTTTTGTTCACTCTGAGATCTTTGTTTTCAATATTAGGATTATCAGGTATATGGACTGACCCTGCTCTGCGTACGAGCGTGTACAGACATCAGGGCGCAACAAATTAATCCGATACTGAGTCGGACATGTACGCTGCTCTATTATTGACAATCGTATATCTGGCGAACTTATGTACAATAAAGTTCATACGATCACCTCTAGCAAGCCGCGATGATTTATTTGTTGCGTCCTCTCTCTAGGTGCTTTCCTTCGCGTCATTACGAAAGTCATTATATCAGGACGGGCGCCTCGGCAGCCGACAAATAGGCTACACTCACCTGTACAAAGGCTCGCCGATAGTCTCCTTAAACCACAACACCATGGCAACGGCGTCGTCCCTGTCGCGAGGTCTGATGTCGCAGGGCAACCCTTGCTTTTTGCCGAGCACCCCGTGTACCTCCTCCATGGGGACTGGAACAAATCGATCAATCAAAATATGCGCTATTCTGCGTTCGCACTGAAGTAATTAGTATACGGTAGAAGTCCATAATATCTCGAAGTGAAGTGAATACGATACAAAAAAACAAGACACACTTAGTCATCTCCACAATATTTGACCTCGGGATTATCGAAATATGTGTTGGACTATACACTATACAGGGTCCTGCTGAATTCATAAGGACTGTATTGCTATTTCTTGAAGGGTTACAGATAGAAAGTTGGTGGAATCAAACGAAAGTTGGGTAACTCTGATATTATCTTCAATATGACGTTATACAATTTGGGAAAACTCCAGCCGTTCATGAAATGTTAGAGAAACTTCTGAAAATCACTGATTTCGTTCAACTTTGTTCTTCTCTTGGTTAATATCCGAGGAAGATAACTGAAATTCTGAGTAAATAGGTTATAGTTGATGTCAAAGAAGTTGGGATTGTTAGAAATATTCTATCTCCATTATAATTTCAGAGATTCACCATTAGAAATATGTTATCGAGTATGTTATTCTTCTCATCAGCGCCATATTTGTTTTTTATTTAATTGGATAGGGCTGAAAGTTTCTTTTGCAGCCATATATCTATAATATTTTGATAGAACCTATATCTTATGAAACATCAGCAACGAAATAGTGAATACTATTTTTGCTGGTTTTTTATCAATTCAGAATTGATATGATCGAGAAGATATTCAGATGAACTGGCCATGAATTAGGCGACTATAAAGGAATCTGTATTGGATGAAAGACAAGTCTGGATTCTTGCATCAGATAATATAACAACACCATGATATCTGATGATTTGGACATTTTTATGCTTAGCGTTGAGTGCTTCAAAATGAAACTGAGGAAGTTCTTAAACACTTGTATTATGCTCACTTAGCCGAATTTCATATATTTTGCTTTGGATCTGTAAACTAGATTGAGTTTTTTTTTTATATCCTCTCAATTTTTTTTTGGTATTTCAAGATTACACAATTGTTATTTTTATTGTTATCGTGTGTTATCCTGTTATTGGGCTTGTCCTGTTGGGTAACCTATGTAAATAAATAAATAAATAAATAAATAAATAAATAAATAAATAAATAAATAATAGCTCATTTCACAAGAGATGAAGTTCGATAGCTATGCCGTTGAATACCGATACTACTAGAGTTTTATCGATTTCAAGCTCACTCATATTATATTCCACCATCATGATGAAAATTGCGTGAAAAAAGTGTCGAATCCAAACTGAAGTGAAATGACTCTCAATTTATTGATTGGGCAAAAGCTGTCTTGCTAAACCCTTCCCGAACTTCCTCCATGGGGATTGCAACAATAATTAAATGGGTTCCTATTGTCGAACTTTCATTACGTGTAATCAGAAGAAACTTCAGGATTAAAGGGGGAATATAACTTCTTGGCAGTTACCTTATGCTAGGTGGTTTGGCGGAGCACCGAGATGATTAAGCTTCAAGTTTCGAGAAGTTTATATATACCAAATTTGTTTGACCTTGTGATGGTGAATGGAACTTTCTAAAAACCGTTTTGACACGTCACAATTGCTACAGCAAAATACATAGGGTTGTCTTGGAATGAACTGAACGAAAAGATTCTTTTCCCATAGGAGCATCAATGTGTTCAAATTCGTCATCACAAAATGAAATCTTCATTCCGATTTCTAGAACATGTTTGAAAAACGATTCGATAACACTGATTATTCCACTGTGAGATAACATTCTGTCAATCAGAGGAAAGAATATAGTTCCCTGTTCATTTGATATAATGATACTAATAATCGTCTTCATTGAATGATCGGAGCGTATACGAATGTACATACAGAAAATATGGAGGCAAAGTTAAGCATGCTTGCAATCCTCACATTTACCTCCACGTGATCAAGATGAAAAAACGTGTATACCTTCCGCGGTGTTCACCGGACTTATCAATATTCAAAGATACAACATGGCATCCACTCCGAAAATCTGAATATGGATTAAAGAACAATTAATTAACACTTTGTTGCTGAGCAGTGTCAAAAGGCGGAGAAGACAACATGATTTGCATGACAGATTCAATTCTCTTGTTGAAAACAGAAACAGATTCGTTTCCGGAACATCCAACGGTAAGATGAAATTATATATCTCTCAGTCTACCTTTATTCTCCTTCTTCAAATATTCTCCGAACAAGGTGTCTTTGACTATCGATTGAATTTTTCTTTGAGGTTTCAAATAGAGGAATTTTGAACGCAGTGACATTTTGGGGCTAATTATTTGATCCATCATTATTCACTATGAATATATCAAAATAATACCAATATTCTCATTCACAGAGACTAGCAGAAAATTCCTAGAATATTCGAGAACACCAATTTTCTTGCTCAGCTGCTGATGGTATGAGAGGAAGTAATGAAAAAATAAAACATTATTATTTCTACAATTCATTCGTTTCATTCTGTTTTTTGGGACAAATTCCCTCTTTTCAGCAAATCTCCATTACATTCCATCACTAGCAATACCAGTCAGACCTAGTTGACAGGCCCTGTCAACACATTCTGATGTCGTCCTCCTCGAATGATATCGAATAATTATTTTTTTCACACAAAAGTCGTCCATTTTGATACCAAAATTAGTTCTTAAATTGACGTTTCTATTACTGACACAAAAATAGGTATGTTGCTAGGCAACATATTAAGTTCCTAGGAGCTAAAGTTGTACTTTAGCTCCTAGGAATCGAAAAGGAAGTACTGGACGTCATCAAGAATGAACAACATTGTTACGGTTGGTTATTTGGGTTGAGATGCATACCTGATTTGTTTCCGATTTCGGCAGATTTGGCAATTTATACCCATACTGGAGATATAAATACACCTTATTATAGTTGAGTATTGGAATTATAAACATCTCAGTCAAGTATTTTTGTTCTGATCAGGGAAGCCTTTGAGATTCAAATACTTGCTGGATCTGTATTTCATTCGTTATTCTTGGGATGGATAGCTTATTGTTTTTGAATAATCACGGCAAGCAATAGTTTTTTGTCTCAAACAACGATATTGTTAACCTTCATTTGATTATCAAGCGCAAAACATTGTATTATGGAGAGGAATGAATAATCGCTATTATTATTGTTGATATGCTCACTAACCTAACATTTTCCACGTCTTGTTCCTATAGCTGGCACTGGCGCGGTATTTGCCATTAGAGCACCTGGTCCATACACAAATATGTCACTCTGTGATTGTATTTATATTGAAACTACAATTAGAACATCCTTGAAAATTGAATGAACCTGCTGTTGATGCAGGTAGAATGTTCTCACCACACGGATTATTTCTCAATATTTGTTGCATTGCATACATATGGCACGGCATTGGTGGTAACTTCACATATTTATTTGACTCAATTGTTTCGGTTGCAGAAAAAATAGCATGTTCCATTCGGATCAAAAGTGACTTTGTTCGACTCGCAAATTTTGCTTTCGCTCGGCTTCGCTGAACGCTCCACCTCCCAAATGCGAAATTTGCTTGTCAAACAAAGTGTCACTTTTGATCCTAATGAAACAATCTACTATTCTACTACTGCTATAAAAAGTAGCGCATTTCTCATAGCTTACTTAGTTTCAAAACCATTTATTGCTCATACTATGAGAAATATTTTTTCGCACGGCACTTTGACACCACATACTTCCATGGAGAATCAACAAAAATCGACGAAAACAATTGGCTGCTTTTCAGCTTTGAATAGTTGTCACAACTGTCAGGAGAAGTTTATCAAATTCTTGAGGGTAATTCTCTTGAGTTGGATTTGTTGTTTACGGAAATTTCAAGAAAAAAATATGAATTGGCATATACGAAAAATGTATGGAATCTAAAAAAGTACAAAAAAAAACATCTTTTTCGTCTACTCTTTGGTCACAATATTCGACGTGGCATAGTTCCACATTATAAAATGAATACCAATATTTACATTACTTTGGATTCTTTGAATAAGTGCAGTTGTAGAAAAAGTATAGTGCGCAACATATGGGGAAAAGTACTTTTCTCACTCGTATGTTTGCATCACTCGCCCTTCAGGCTCGTGCCACAAACTTTCACACTCGTGAGAAAACTTGAACTGTCTCCACATAAATATATTATTATTATTATTATTATTACTTGTTGCACAATATACTATTTCCAAATTCCAATTGTCTATAGAACAGCAATGCTTTGGAATTCTTTGCCAGAGGAAGTTTTCCCAAGAACTCATATACTTACTCCAGAATTAAAAAAAACCAATACCTTCTCTCTTCATTTTCATTAGGTACCTATATGCACGATGTTCAATAACCATTAGGGATTCCTCTTTGTGCGCTTCAACATACGAAAAAATACTCAAATCAACATGAATCAAAATTGATGATAAAAGTGAGAGCGCAAAACTGAATGTTAGGTATATTTTTTCGTATTTCACAAATTTCAACTTCTTTCAAAATGGCGGAAATGACGTCAGATAAGTTATTTTTTCCACAAAGTCACCATTTTTGTCTCATATTCTGAAAAGACATATTTCTTTTGATCATCTTCCATCCCAAAATTTTTTTCTATCTTCATTGACTTGATAGCTGTGGGACTCCAAAGTTGGCATTTTCAAATAAACCTCAAATGACCCCGCCGTACTAAGAATCAAGTCTTATTGAAAAATGCTGACTTTAGAGTCCCATAGCTATCAACCAAATGAAGATAAAAAAAATACCTGGATGGAAGTCATTTGAAAAAATATGTTTTTTCAGAAAATGAAAAAAATTGTGACTGTAGGAAAATAATTTTTAAATAATTCTTGACCCCGCCGTAATAACAATCGAGCCGGCCGGTTTTCACCTTCAATCGGTTTCAAATGAATGCAAAATGTATCAAATTTATCAAATTGCTCTCAAAACAATTTGTTTTCCGGCAGATTCGATTTTTATCACGGCGGAGTCAATTGTGGTTCATTTGAAAATGCCAACTTTG